CGGGTCTTCCCAAATGGGCTCCTGTCCTCCCAGTTCTACAGATTTACGTGACCTAGGGACTTATCGAGTGTTTGTACTGCCTATTGCCGGTTTGTATTCTTCTGTGTAACCCAAGGTTACACAGATGCCCCAGACCTGCCAGTCATGCTAGTGTGACCGTAGTTACAGGTATCCTATCCCAACTGATCGACAGAAAACAGTTGCCATAACACAGGTAATTATTCGAATTTTCGCCGTTGGTGGGTTTCGAACTCTTGATCTGCCACTTGGTGAAGGTGACAACCTAACCACTACACTAGATCGCCACACCTCTTAACTACTTTCTTAATTCTAATATTTTTTGCTCTTGGTTTTTGATATTTTATTGAAATTCCATAATTATAAGGAGCTTTCTATTTTCTTGTTCTTGCAGTTGTTGCTGCAATATTATAATTATATGCTTATAGTTTTCTAAATGCATTGATTCTAAATACAATTCATCAACTTTTTCACGAATATTAGAATCGTGAGTAGAACTATTAGAGCTAATATCAGATATGGCTCTCTTATTTTTAAAAGTAGGATTATTTGAAAGGTGATTATAAAATTGATTAGTAAAATAACTTGATTATAATGCTTTTTACAAATTGAGTGTGAATACAAATAAAAGTTAAGTTTAGGCATATAATCTACATATAATTTAAGCCGATTAGTGGTGGTTGGTGTATTGGCATGTCTCCAGGTTTGTGATTCTTTTGTTTCGCAAGGTCTTAAACCAATTTTACTATATGTGCTAGCTAATGTACTAAACATACAAGGAAGATCTTTGGCTCTTGGCTTTTTTACAACTGGTGAAGATTGTGACATTGTTATCAGGCTTTTATATAAGTGTTTTAATAAAAAAAAAAAAAAACTTAGTATACTATAATAAAACTTAAACATAAAATCTTTGTTCTTTTCAGGTCTTATTTACCTTTTCGAAAAAAGTTGATCAATGAAAAATAAAAGCTGATTATGCAAATATAAGTTTTCAACTTTTGATTCAAATATCAACTTGTAAGATTCGATACTGCAAAAGCCCCTAAATTTTAACTCCAAGATAGTTTTATGTAGAAATGAGCAAGTTTAGTAAAGTATTATTATTTATTATTTTCGATTATTTCTTATCATTTTTTGTGTAATAAGTAATAATAAGTAAAGAATTATGATATAAGCAAAAACTTAACCTGATCAGCAAATTTTTGAGTTTAAAAT